CTATGCGCCTCGTTGGCTATCTATCATCTCATATCCAATGCGCGTTCGTAGAATAATTGTTAATTATTATATGGCTGTGTCTCACAAGGACTGGGAACTACCGAATTCACGAATTTGATTTGGCTAAAATCAATATTGAAAGCAGTCTAGATTTTCCCATCTAGACTGGCATCTAGACTGGTCTAGAAAAAAAAGGTACAAAGAATATAAAAAATTGGCATATAAGACACAGCCATATAATAAACATCTTATTAACTGAGCTAGGTCGGTCTGTAAGGGAGAATCTTGACCTCAGTCGCTGGTAGAGACCTCACTGCATTCGGTCTGTACTGGCGACCTCAGTCAAGATTCTCCCATACAGACCTCCTGCTCAGTTAATAAGAACTAATTAAATTACCTTAACCACAACATTACTGTCTGAAGGAAAGATACTACTGTAAATTTTGAAAAGAAGTTTAAACAAATTCAGTTATTCTTATAAGGTTGCTCTATTTATTTGGACTCCTATTTATTTGTGACAATTTTTTTGATGGGCAGCAAAGGACTTGGAAAGGATGGAAGTGGAATTGTGGAGCCAGTTGAAGCAGTGTTATTGCCTCAAGGTAAGGACTTTCCCTTCTTTTGATTCAGACTTTTGAATCAATGAGTTGAGCTCCATTCAGTCCTGCTATCAATAGTAATTATGATAATGTAGATGTGTTGATAATTAATGATTATCATTATTGTAACCATTATTTCTTGTTATTATTATAATTACTATTTTAAAATGTAATTTTTGTCATTATTATTACTAAATATTAAATTTGATTCATGAATTTTAAAGTATTTTATTGTGCCAACTATATCTGGCAATGCACATTGCTTCTCCCTATCTGGAGATGATTGAATTAACCATTTTTACTGATCACTGAGTAAAACATGCATCATTTAACACCATCATTTACTGTTGACAGCAAAATAGTGTGAACCTTGCCAGAAAATAGTTCCAAAGGAAAGTGTGGAAAATGATCCATCTACAAGACAACATTATATAGAATGATGTAACTTGATACAAGGATAAGCTAAGGGGTTATATTCAGGACATTAACAATTAAAAAATGTCAACTAAACTTGTGGGTCTTGCAGGAAAGTCACTTGATAAGATAGCAGAACTCAGAGAAAATAACAAACTGCCCAAAAAAGGAATGAAGAAGAGGCAGAAACCATCTAAAATAAAATCTGTCAAGTTACCAGAAAGAGTTTGTATCTACAATCATATTTTCTTGAATTCTAGATGAAAGTTTTCTTGGCGACTTTATGGTTATGTTTGTTCAATGGCAGCCCAATAAGTAATGAATACAATGAAATTGTTGTTAACTATCATACAATGAAAACCACTATGTAACCAACCTTACATTTAGAAACTAAATGTGACAACAATGTATAGCACTATTTGAGCAATAGTGAAAATCAGACCTGAAAAAAWTTTCAGGCCTGTACGGGATTGGAACCACTGACCTCTGCGATACTAGTGCAGCGCTCTACCAATTGAGCTAACAAGCCAACTGGGAGCAGGCCATCAAATTAATTCGACATAAACCCGTAGATGATAAATCAAACAACAACAAACATATGAAACATATGTATGAACTGCGGTTATGAAACGTATACGTTTCATAACCGCAGTTCATACATATGTTTCATATGTTTGTTGTTGTGTGACAACAATGTTGCTTTTTGAATGCATGGGCCCAAGACAAAAATGAGACCCCTAAAATTATTTGAAGAACAACATCACAGCATACTTAGAGGAGGCGGCGTGGCCGAGTGGTCAGCGTGTAGGACTCGCAATCCGTCGCTCCCAGGTTCGAGTCCCGCCCTGACCACTACCTGAATTTGTTTCACGGTGGCTCCGAGTTCAAATCCTCGGCCATGCTTGTAAATAGCCAACTGGTTTGCCTCCGGCCCGTTGGCATTCTTAACAATGTTATGTTCAATTTGAATTATTTGTTTATAGCCCACAATGTAAACTACTGGGTTACCAGTAATTGTGTTAGCTATTAAGTTAATTTTTTATTTTTTTTTTATTTTTTATACTGAATAAGCTTGGCCAATCAAGATAGCTATCTTGATTGGCCAAGCTTATTCAGTATTAGAATGATTCAATTGTTGTTAAAAAAAAAATAAAAACATTGCTGTATAGTTTATATTGCTTATTTGTTAGATAAATTCACCATGCTGGTCTTGGCTTTCATTGTATTAACTGTCTGAAAGATGTATTTTGTTCTTTCTCTCCCTTAAAAAGTAGAGGAAAACTTTTTTCATGTGAATAAAAAAGGTTCCAATTAACTCTGCAGTTATTTATTTCATGTTTAGGTTGATATTATTTGGCAAGTGTTAAAATAATTTACTTGGCATGGAATTAAGTACCCCACAGTATCTCATTACAAAAGAAAAACCATTTAAATATTTTTGATGTGCAATTTCAGGCATCTGGTAGCGATGTATTTGACTTTATCAACATAAAACTAGGTGGCAAGAAAGGTGATGTATAATTTCCTAGTATTCATTTCAAGAAAATGTTTGGTAGCAATTTAGAAGGATGACACAAAGTAGTTCACAAAGGAATGAGCCTCACTGAGGGAGGGGAAAGCAAACAGTCAACAACATGTGCACTCCCACTAAGCCACATTTAGCCCTGGGATGCTCGATTCTTCAAGTGTTTTCTTTTCCTTTCCACACCTTGATATGGTTGAGTAAAGAGTAAGGCTTGTGAACCATCTGTTTCATTACTTTGGACCATGGAGATTAGCTCAGATGTTTTATCTTGAGATATTTCTGAAATCAGGTGTAACAAGTCTTGGCTTTGGATATCCTTATATCAAGATTTAGTTCTGAAATTTAGCGAGTGAATTTATCACTGTATGCTAGATAGCTATACTTAGTGATTTTCAAGGTTGTCCTAATATTTGAGATTACTGCCAACCAAGGAAATCTTGTTATCCTTATCCGTACAAACATGACAGTAACTGACAAAAATTTATCACATGCAGTGAATAATGGGTATCCTCCCCCTTCAGGAAATATTCATGATATAAGAGTTCCTGTTCCCGGGACAAGTGCAAGTGATTTTGAGGTTAAAGACACAGGAAAGAAAAAGAAGGGAGACAGTGAAAATGTAAACTGGAATTTACAGGTGTGGTACATTAACTGTCAGCAAAAATTAGCACAGCTCATAAATAGAATGGAGGGGGAGGGGGACATTTTATCAGAAAGAGTCTTAGATGTTCAGCAGCCATATTGTTTGTGGAATGTTGCAGACTATGCATGGAGGTTGTTAACAAACTATAGTATCGGTCCTTTTGGATGTTGTTTTTAGCTATGATTGGGTACAATAGAGAAATTCATTTCTTTTTGTTAACTTATCCTGGTTGGCCTTGCAGCTAAGATATTGTCCAGTCTCAGAAGCCAAGTGTTACTATCATTATATTTTTGTAATTAATTGTTGATATTGTTACTTTTGAATAAATAACTAAACAGATTTAACTTTACAAATACAAAATGTTACAGAATTTGTGGTACTGTTCAGTAAGTATGATTGAAACAATAAGATGATAATAATATTAAAAATCTTATATGAAATAAATTACAATAACAATAGTGTCATGTTATAAGAAAAAACTGCTGGCAAAGGCATTTTAAAAGTTTTTCAAATCCCATTTTTGTGTTTCATTGTCTTATTTTGTTTTGATGCTATTTGGTGCTCTGTATCGTAAATTTTTTTAACGTATCAACTTAATAGTACATTCAATGACGGATTCTTCTTAGTAATCAATCTACATTTTTTAAATGAAGAATTTTGCCACAAATATCAAGTAATTAAAGATGACACTGTCTTCACCTCAGCTAAACTCACCAAATTAGATAGTTAGCAAAGTTAGGGCTTCCACCATATGATGTCATTCTTGAAATAATTCAGCAACTCTGAACTTTTTTTTATAGTTCCATTCAGTGTTGATTCACCTTAAAAACAAAAAGTGAATTGACTTAATCTTATTCATGTTACCCAGCTATTTAAAATTCATGAGGATATATCAGCTGTTGAGAAGCAGTTGAAGAAAGAAGAAATGGCTCTGAGTAGACACCATGAAAAGTAAGTCTCCTTTCAGTTTAAGAAGTACATGAAAAAATATTATTTCCAAAAAATGGAAGAATAATTTTTGCTCACAATGACCTGATCAATTGCCAGTGTAAAAGTTACATATTATTTTGGCAATTAGGGGGGCAGATACAGTTCTAAACATGTTCTCACAAATTCCTTATATCTCAAAATTTCTTTACAAAAATTTCACAAATGGTTTGTTTGTTATTATTTTTTAGGAATAACAAAATAGCCTCACACTTTAGAGAGAAAGTTGAAGGCATCAAGGCACATCTGTCTCGACTACATGACAGAGAGAAACATATACAGCAGAAACTACGTCATAGCAAGAATCATAAAAAACTCACTGTATTCTAATGATCTAAACATTCCTTGGAGAAACATGTTGGTATACCCTTAAAATCACAATATGCCATCTGATATCTGTCATATTAATGCTACACACAGACTGTATAAAACAACAACGGTTTAATTGCTTTTAGTCTTGAATGTACATTTTACGGAAAACTCCCAGTGACCACGAGGTCCCTGTCTGAGAATGTAAAATCACTGTACTAGTGCTCATGTGCAATGTACTAAGTTTAGTACAGAAAACTGGTGTCATGACAATATCAAGCCTAATTTATCACAGGGTACAGAGTTTTCGAATGGAACCTTGACATGGACCATTCTGATTCTATACCTAGCAATGCTTTGGCATTGAAGGCAAGATCTTCAGAGCATTTGCATTTTTGCAGACCCAATCATATGTAAAGGTCTCCATAAAGGTCAGATGATACTGAGAGTATTTCTGAAGATGTTCCAAATGTTTTTAAAGGTACCCTGGAGAGTTGATGCAAACAGGTTTCTGGAGCTCTCCCTTCCTCAGAGAAATTCTCAATTTTTTTTCACTACAAGTAAACATAGCATACCTCACTATAACATTGATTCAAGGTTCAATCTTTGTCAGATAGGCTGTGACAGCTTGAATTTCTGTAACTTTCTTTGCTCAATCTTTCACCATTCAAAGATAGCTGGACTGTAGCTACTACCTCAGCATGAGTAGACAATTTATTATTAATGCAAGTTTTTCAATGACTTAAATATCCTCTTCAACATTTGATACAAAATTATTACAGAATATTGGTCTTAATTGTGAAAACCAAGTTTGCAGCTATAGCATGGGTATAGTAGAAACCTCAGAAAGAGATCTCATGTTTGAAAAAACTGGATGGCATTTAAGAACAGGCCAGTGAAATGATAAGCAAGGAAAGTCAATGCAATAATTTAACTGTGCAAAAGGGCAGAGATGTCTTCTTAAAGTAACTAATTTTGTGGCTTCCAAGAATAAATAAAATAATGAAATGTCAAGTCACTGTGTTCAACATGTGTTTATATTGTTTTTTCGTCATGAAAGGTAGTCAACTACTTCTGGTATGGCCTCAAAATCAGTGTCTTCAAAATGCGTCAGTATTTTTGTTTTGTCCTGAAAGCTAGTCAGCAATTTCTGGTATAGCCTAACTTTTGTATGGAAGGAGGTTAAGATCCATGAAAGAAATTTATCATACTTCAAGGGCGATTAATTGTAAGAGCCTTTCTTCAACAAAGTAATTCACATGCCAGACGCCATTGATAACAAACTGATGTTTCTGTGAAAAATTAGTTCAACTGTCAACCTCCACAAACTGCAATAAATGAAAAAATTCATTGGATAGTTGCAATGTCCTCTGTGAAGAAATCACTTATCCTTTCCTTTGAACTGGTCTTAACACCAATTAATTCTCAACACTTGAGTTCACTCCTTCAATTTTAACAATAAAGAGAGGAAGCTTTCCAACCTGGAAACAGGCAGCAAAAGGGATTAGAAAGTACTCATCACCTAGGGGGATAAAGCAGTTTTCAGGGTAGTGGTAGGGACATCATTAACATATTACAAAGCCTTGGGGGGGAAGGGGTCAGGTAAAATTTTAATATGACACAACCAAAATCCTTGCACCCCCCTTCCCTGATAAAAAGTAATGACTGGTCCCCAGAGGGCTGATTTATATAGCTTGGAAAAACAAAGGGTAACAATAAAGGGGGCTTCATTTTAGATAGTGGTGACAAAAAAAAAAAAGGAAGCAGGGTCACCAACTACAACCAAAGTCCATGAAAAGCCAACTCAGGATACTGCTTTCTCTCAAACCAGCAAGTGTCTCTCATCTAGATGATGAAAATCATGTTCCACAGATACAGAAATACAATTACATCTGCCAACATACAGTCTTTAATAGAAAGGTTAAAAATTCAATGAATACATATTCAACTAAAAGAAGTCTGCTTTGATCCTTAAGTGAAAAATGCTGATTCTCTTGAACTTAAATACACATTCAAGTACCTCAGGAAATAATGATGTTTTGTTTTGTGAATGCCATTCTTCTGGACCTGCACAAGTCAAAAATACTTTGTACCGTCTTTCTGGTTAGATGTAAAAGGATGGCAAAATTTTTCACTGAGTTAGCATTTCAGTTTAAATCACACAGCAGGGTAACTGCTGTTATTGAAATACCTATATTACTTTGCTATGGACAACCTACAGTAAAAGTTCAAAAGTATTCTTTTGCCGTTCACAATTGGGCAGCAAACAAATGATACAAGCTTATTCCTTTGCAAATGTGCAATTCCAGAGGTGCAAAAGATTTTAAATCAATAAACTAGTTTCCATGTACAATGTTCAATAACACAAAATGTCAATTTGTGTTCAGTTTTCTTTGGTTTAGTAAGGACGATATCCACCACCACCGCCGGCACCACCACCCCCTCCTCCACGTCCACGCCCCTGTCCACCACGCCTGTTTGGACCATATGATGACGCCTCAGAACTGTACTCTCCCATGTTGTGATAACCTCCACCGTAACCACCTCCATAAGTACCAGCATAAGTACCCCCATAACCACCATCGTAACCATAACCACCATACCCAGAGTAATCACCGCTATAATCATAACCCTCATAACCACCATAGGCAGGCTGCGAGTAAGCACCATTATAACCTGCACCACCACCACCACCACCGCCACCACCTCCTCCTCCTCCCCGCCCTCTTCCTCTGAATCCACCTCCACCACGACCACCACGAAACCCACCACCTCCACCTTGAGCACCTCCCCCCTGTCCACTATTTTCCTCAGCCTTCTTGAGCTCAACTTTTTTGTCTTTGATTGTGCAGTTCCTGACAATAAATAGCTTGTCCACTATGTGTTCGTTGTGGAACCAGGCAAATGCATAGCCCTTGAATTTGTTGGTGTTTCTGTCAAACATCAGTTTGATTTTCTCTGGTTGATGGGGTGTGAATATGGCCAGGACATTCTTGATATCCTCTTCACTGGCCTCTTCATTGAGCCCACCTATGAAAAGCTTCTTTGTTTTCAACTGCGCTAATGGGTTTGGATCATCTCTTGGAATTGCCCTTCTTGGGTAAACAGTCTGGCCATCAACAACTTGTGGTTTATCTTCTAAGATTTGATCCACTGCAGCTTGATCAGACATTGACACAAAGGCAAACCCCCTGGGGTTGTGATCTTTGTCTAGGCCTATCTTGACTTCAGTAACAGTTCCATATTTTCCAAAGTGATTTTTCAGACTTTCCTCCGTTGACTCGAGCTTAAGCTTTCCAATGTAAAGCTTCTTTAAATCAGGATTATTTTCCCAGCCTTCAGTAGCCATGGTTTGGCAAGCCTACAAGGGAGTACACAAAGTTTCATTAGTGTAACATAACAAAACTTTAAATACTCTCCAAGGCAAGAAGTTAGTGAAGAAAAAAAAGGCTTTAAAATTTCTGTACCCGAAACAGTAAATAACAAAGCCATCCCATTGAAATAGCAATTGCAACTATTTTTAATTTTCACTAAATTGAAAATAAATTGTCAGAGTTGAATTCAAATTCAAAATGTGAGGAAAAACTCAAACAGTAAAATCTAGCCATGTTCACCTGCAACAGAATTGTGAAATGTTATAAAAAAATCTGAAAAGAAGAAAATTGAAAAATGAAACAATAGAAAAGGAAAAATGTGGAAACAAAGTCAAAGAAATTACAGACAAGAAATTTGAAAATCTTTATTCAAAAGCAGTAAAATTCAATTTCTGTTTGAACACTTCATTTCCAAGATAAAAGCATATTTGCCTTGTTTTCATAATAAAAGAATACTTGCTTAGAAGTCTTACAGATTAGAAAAAGCTGAATGCATTTTTCTGGGAAAGCTCAAATTTAATCAATCAACACTCTGCCAAACCATATCTGTGCAACCACCAAAGCATTTCTGAGCTAATAATTGCTTTTCAAACTCACAAATCTAAAAAAAGAATTACTTTACAAATATATAGTCCTTCAGCAACAATTTACGAAGCCTCAAGGGCTTAATTAACTAAAACAGAGAGCAATGAGATGAAACACAGAAACAGAGGTAGCATCTACAACTAGATTCCCTTTCAACTGAAATAATAGAGATTTGGAAATTCACTATGACAAGTTTCATCCAAATTCAAACACCCCCTGTTTGTTGGTTTCAACTTGTGTCAAGTGTAGAATTCAACTGCAGTTTGTCGCCAAATAATATCACATACTGCAATGACTGAAATCTGCTTGGGTGTCACTTCTTCATCAATGAAAAACAATTCTTCAGATAGACCTCAGAGTCATTTTCTACTCATTTTAACACATTACTAAACCATCCATTGGAACAAAATAAAATCTCATTTCAACAACTGAAAATTTTAAACAAATTCTTAGAAAGCAAATAATCAGTTGAAATCCAACCCACCCGCTGAACTTCTTATCCATTCCTTGCCAGCCGCATATCTTATAAATGTCACATTAACCGTTGTGAACTAGCACAGACTTAAATCATTTGGGTACATAGTATGGAAAGAATAACCAAAATGTGCAAAAAATTGAAGATCATAACGTGAGAGAATACCAAAAAAGCTCGAGTTTACATTGAACAAGACGAAAAACAACATTTGGAGAACTTCGTTCTTGGAAGAAAAGTTGACCAAGTCGAAACTGGAACAAGAAAACAAAAGGCTAGGAAACTTCAGGAATTCGGGACTTCATCCTCTATCGTGGGAAACGGTTCTTTTCCGATTTTCTGCGTGTACTTTAAAGCGGTCAGAAAGCATCAGGAGGGAAACCTTTCTTGAAATTGAACTACCACGGAAATGGCTGAAACGACGGAAAGCAAAAACCCTTCACAAGATCTGAAACTTCGTGAGAATAATTCTTCTTGCCCTATTCCAATCTCATCAAACTAGCACACCATCAAACATACATGTTTTTTGAAGACTCCAGCGCATAACTGACACTCCGAACCGCTCTAACTTAGTAGTTACCACACATTTGGTCCATGCTTGACCACTCCAGATTCCATGCGTTATCCAATCCCTTTGTCATCTGGAGACGCCGCGTGGCCGCCAAGATTCGACGCCGCCATGACAGTCAAACGTGCAGCTCTCATGTCCTCTCGAGGAGGGACGGCAGGCAGAAGTCGCAATAATCGAGTTTTCTGCCAATACAACTGTCAGTTCAGTACGGGATTGTTTCTATAATCATTCTATTTGTATCGTTTCGAAAACTTCATTTGCTGCAAAAAAATTGATTTCCCGAAGCGGGCGGTTTTCGGGAGCGACAGATAGAAGCACGTGGCAATTAAAATTTACACGAAAACCTCTGTTAGGGAAATCAAACAAATAAATCCAGAACATTTGATGAAAAAAAGCTTTAAAGTAAGATAACAAACCTCGGCTAAGAATGAATAGAACGTAAATCAAAGCGTGAGATTTCGGCGACAGCGATAGTAATCCGTAAAAAATGGCACAATTTTAGGAAAGTAACTGGGCCATCAAATTCTTGATGAAAAGCTAGAAAAACTAAAAAACTTCTCGACAAAAATATCTGAAAAACTCGAGGGATATGGTTTTAAATGAAAAGCTTCAGTATACCTTACCTTCAAACGTAAGATTTAACAGCTTTAGAAGTACTTCTACGAACTGAACTCAATACTCCGTTGGAAGCCGACACGCACTCGATAGAACGTCAAATACGTCACAGGTCACGAGGTCTCTGTATCCCTGAGCCCATGGTGCTATCGACAAATGTGCGCGAAAGTTCTCATAAGTTCCGAGGCTCGTTTCTCGAATCGAACGTAGTCCCAAGAACCTGATGGGCCCGAAGCCATGAATTAAAATAAAAATTTAAAGGATGGGAAAGCAGGTTCTGGCACCCAAACCAGTACTTTTTGTTTCTATAGCTGATAAGTTTATTGTATCATTTTCAAAACTTTTCAAATCCCCATCTTGAATGCAAACAGAAAAAGTTTTGAAAATGATACAATAAATCATCAGTTAAAGGAACAAAAAGGACTGGTTTGGGTGCCAGAACCTGATTTCCATTGCTTTAAATTTTGATTTTAAAACATGGCTTCTGGCCCAATTACCACAACTTTCAAGAAACAGGCCCCTGGGCCAGGTTGTTCAATGGTGGGTTTAGATAACCCAGGGTTGGTGTGAAATTTGATTTCAGATCTGAAAACTTTAAAAAAAGAATTCAGTACCATTCATTTAGTCTACAATTTGACAATTGAATGTTCAAAAAATAATTAGAAAAATTATCCCTAAACAGCTTTGAACAGAGCAATATAGAAACCTGGATAAAAATTTAACACCACTTAGTTTTCAAACAACTGAGCCGGAGCCCTGGCCTACTTGAGCTTTGGGGCACACATGCAGGACCACATGCAGGAACTTGGTACAAATACCAATCATCAGCCAAACCTTAGAGACTGGCCATTTATTAGAGGGGGGGTGGGCTTGATGCATTTTAATTTCCCATAGGCCTGTTCTTGCCACTGTGTCCCCCCTTTGAGTCTATAAATGAAATAAGGTGACCTGCCCTCAACCACAGAAACAGTTTTAATACAACTTAAATAAAACTCACCAAACTATTTAATGCAAATAGCAAAAATAAGAGAAAGGCACAGAAGAGAAAAGTTGGATGAGAGGAAGAGAATTTTGATTTAATCTCCAAACTACTGTTTGATGGTGAGATTGCAGTTAAGGAAGTCAATGTGGCTGCCCTAGTAGGGACCTTAAGCAGTCAGGATGGCAACAGCAAGGAAGACTTTGATTAAAAAAATGAATTTCTACTCTTAGTTAGATTTTCAAAAATGGCTGCAGGAGCTTACTGTCTCATACGGCCCCACAGCTCAACTTCAGCATGACTTATAAAAGTAGTGATGAGTTCCAAATGGAAATTAAAATAATTTGCCATCGCGGTTTCAGTTCGCAAACGACGCAAATTTTGGCGATTTCATGTTTTGCATAGGACAACTAAGAAACATACAAAGTTTCAAACCACACATGCTGAGCTATTTTTCTGCCAATTAGATCTCTTGTTTTTCCATGTCCTCATTGCTGTCACCATCATGGTTGCTTAACCCATTAACGGCCGCAGCTTTTGTGGAAAACTGTGTTTTGAAGCTAGTCCAGCAGATTTGGGGTCACTGTTGGGGTTTTGAAAGCGCGAACTTACCAAAAACCACTTGACAGCTCGTGCACTCGACGGCCTTTCGATCCAAATGCCAAATGGCGGCCTGAAAATCTCGGGCACGCGCAGAGAGCAGAATTTCGACATAGGTTTTGGGTTGAAAAGTCACGCCCCACTTACGACTTCTACTTTTCTCTCTTTCTCCTGCCCTTTTT